AAACAACAGAAACAAATCTCCTCATAGTTCTGGAAGCTGGAAGCTCAAGATCAAGGTGTTGTCAGGGCTGGTTTCTCCTGAGGCCCCTCTCCTTGGCTTATAGATCACCACCTTCTGGCTGTGTCCTCACATGGCCCTCCCTCTATGTACGTTCATCTCTCTCTGTATGTCCAAATTTCCTCTTTGTATAAGGACACCAGTTAGACTGGATTAGGGCCCACCAAACAGGTTCACTTTAACTTTATTACCTCGTTATTTTTATTTTTATATTTTTTAAGATTTTATTTATTTGACAGAGAGATAGAGCCAGAGAGCACAAGCAGGTGGGGGTTGGGGGGGGGTGGAATGGCAGAGGGAGAGGGAGAAGCAGGCTCCCCACTGAGCAGGGAGCCCGACGCAGCACTCGACTCCAGGACCCCAGGACCATGACCTGAGCTGAAGGCAGATGCTTAACCAACTGAGCCACCCAGGCGCCCCTCATCACCTCTTTAAAGGCCCAACCTCCAAATGCAGTCACATTCAAATACACCGGGAGCAGGTTCTGAACATACGAAGCTGGGGGGCACACAATTCAGCCAAGACCACCACCACCACCACCATCATCACCACGAAAAGTTCCTTGCCCAGTGTCTCGGAGTTTTGGTAGATGTTCTCCTGTGAAGGAGCAATGCAGTTAACATTTAGAGACATGTGCTTCTAAAATGATTTAAATAGGTAAATTGTGGGTGCTTAAGTTATCTGGAAAGCTGGGATCCTGGACACATGAAGGGCTGTGGTGGTTACAGGGTTACTGGGTATCCTCCCCGGCCTTGCTCCCCAGCTCACTGCACAGGGATTTCTTTGAAAACCTCCACACACAGGATCCAAGGTTGGTTTCTTGGAGGAAAGAAAACGTGGTGTCTCACGTTCTCCTCCCAGCAGCCAGGGCCAGCGCCCGGGGAGGAGGGCACAGGCCTGCAGGCCGGCCCAGCAGGCCGAAGAAGGTAGCGCACTTAGTGGGAAATGCAAATCAATTCCACTCAGCCTCCAACCCTGAACTCTGAAAAGGGAAGTAGAACCACGGCACAACTTAAAATAAAGAAGTGAGTGGCTTATAATGACTCTGAGGCTTCCAGGAAAAAGCCATTCTGAGGGTAAAGAACAAAGAAGTCAAAGAAAACTGAGAAAACACAGTCGGGTGTGACCGCCCAGAAAACGAGGAGAGGCCAGTTTCCAGGGAAACCGGAGAGACCGCAGAGATGGCCCAATTTATATGTCCCCCTCAGGAGCAACTGCAGTCAGGAGGCCCTCGGTGCAGCTCCTTCCCTGGGACCTGAACACAGAGACGAAGGGCCAGTGTCCTTCAGCACCGTCGGGATTTGACCCGTCTGCTCGGGTCGCAGCCAGAGTCATCTTGATGATAACGCCCGTGAGGAGGGTGACAGCGCCACTTACCAAGGGCCCGCCATGACACATGCACTTGACATATTCTCTCAGTATTTCCAAAATGAACTTAGGGGGTCTCGGCCAAAACCTTTAATAGATTCGGACAGAAGTATCAGTGCGTCACGTCTTGGGGACGTGTGTATATTACATGTGCGCTCGTGTGCACGGAGTCTAAACGAAATGCCTATTTCACACTGTATGTCACAGTCAAAATGTTTGAAAGCCTCCATGTGCTGTTACCATCCCCACCTTACAGAGGAGGAAATGGATGTGCCCGACGTTTAATAGTCTAAGGTCACAGAGCTTATGACAAGAACCCCACAGCCCGGGGCCCTTGGTGCCCATGTCGCTTCCATGCCCTCAAAGATTTCCCACAGCTCTCAGAATAAATCCCCGAACCCCATCCTCATACCCTCACCTCCTTCTTGCCACTCTGTACCCCAGCTCATTGGTCTTCCTTAATTTCCTCCAACACTACCTGTTCTTCCCTGCCTCAGGACCTTCGCATACACTATGCCCTCTGTGTGAAATATTCCCATCCATTTCTCCAGGTTCAAACCCACAGACCCTTTATCACCTGTCTTTCACTTGCTCAGAGACCTCTCTTTCCCCTCACTCCTGATTAGGTCACATGACCCCAAAGAACACCCTCCTCACCGCCTTTGTTGTCTTGTCACTCAATAAATGCCTACGGAGTTAGTTATTGTTTTGTGAGGTCCGTAATGGCAAGGACTATGTCTGTCTTGTTCCCAGGTGCTTAGTACAGTGCAGGAATTCTGCAGGCACTTGAGGAAGGAGCAAATGAACCAGCCACATGAGAAGCACTACTTCCAGGAGACAAGGGAACTGTGCGTGGCTGTCAGCTGAGAATACCAGCACCCCAAATTACACAAGGCTTTACCACATGAAATAACCTGGTAATGAAATCTAAGAAATCTGGATTCGAATCCAACCATGCAATTGATTAGCTGGGTGACCTGAGTTGATGACTCAGTTTCCTCATCTTCAGGGGCACCTGGGTGGCTCAGTCAGTTAAGCGTCTGCCTTCGGCTCAGGTCATGATCCCAGGGTCCTGGGACTGAGCCCCGCATCAGGCTCCCTGCACCTCGGGAAGCCTGCTTCTCCCTCTCCCCCTGCCCTTCCCCCCAGCTTGTGTGCTCTCTCTCTCTCAAATAAATGAATAAAATCTTAAAACCAACAACAACAACAAAGCTTCCTCAGCTTCAAAAGAGTGGCGTATGCTTCTCCATGAGATAACTGAGATCTTAGCTTTGGCCCATCCAAGGGCCCCCCCCCCAAATTAAAGCTCGTGTTAATATTTTCATAACTCTGTGTTCTTCACAAAACCGTCGCAGGTTCCAAGAGATGACCTATGACCAGGGTTTGGGGCGGCAGGTACTCTCACACATCGCTGGAAGGAGAGCAGTGTGGGCAGCTGCTAGGAACGGAAATTTGACAAGGGCTGTGCTCTCTGACCTAGCAATTCTACTTCCAGAAATTTTACTCTAGGCATGTCAAGGGACTTACATAACCAGGGTTTTTACCACCGCCTTCTTTACGACAGCAGCTGATTGGAAATAACCTAGATGCCCAGCAACAGAGGATTGGCTATGGAAACTTGGGTGTCCCACGTGCTAGAATCCCATGCAGCTCCAAGAATGAACAGGAAAACTCTTAAGTACTGACTGGTGTGCCCTCCCATCCGAATGAAAGTGTGCTAAACATGGAATCGTGTGTGTGTTAGGCTACCATCTAAGTAAAAGAAGATGAAAAGAGCATGTACATATTCCATTGCACTGCATAAAGTACCTCTGGGAGGACAAACCAGAAATTGAGAACACCTGTTTCCCCCAAAGAAAAGGGCTGAGTGACAGGGACACGGTAGGGAAGACTTTTCTCTGCAAACTTGTTTGCACCTTTGAATTTTGAAACATGAAAATGTACGACATATTCAAATAAATAAGTAAAAACAACAGTGAGGCCTCCCTCACCCCCACAAAAGAAAGGCGAAAACATAAAGGTTATTGATTTGTTCAAAGTCACTCAGCTGCTTGGAAGAAGTGAGGTTTCGAACTTGGCTTCTGATCCCAAACAAGTGATCAATTATAGTTCATTCATTCACTCATTCGACACAAATTTATTTCTTCGGCACTTATTCTACAAGAGGAGCTGCCTTGTACAGGGACACACAGGTCAGAAAAACAAGCCCTGGGGGAAAAAAAGAAAACGAAAGGAAGACCGATTTCTTTCCCTTTTTGCACCACACGTCGCCTACTTGCCACACTTTGTGGAACCTCACCAAGAGTGGGCAGGACCTGCCTGGGCTATAGGAGGCAGTCACTCCTTAATCCCATCTGGTTTTTGCCAACTCAGGACACAAGCTCAGTTTTGCCAGATCCGAATTTTCCAAGAGATGCCAAAAATCCAGGTTTTTTCAAACGTGAAATCGTGTGATTTATAAATGTTGGCCACGAATTCACCAAGTTGACTCACACTTTAGGGGCCCAACTAGAGGTTTGGGACCTTTCTTTTATCCCATCACAGCTAGGATCACCAGCCTTCTCTCACCCTTCCCTGGGGCCTCCATCAGGTGTGACGTAAGCCCCCACAAACCAGCCACCGTGGGCTTGAGCAAGTCACTTCCCTTCCTGAGGTCTGTTGGCTTATCAGTTGATGAAGAGTCCGGCCTAGCTGGTGGCCATGAGCCCCTCAGCATCGTCAGCTCTCCGTTCAGCCCCTACCCTGACTGCCCTACAGACCTGAGCACCTCTGAGAGAGGAGGCAGCAGATGACCCCCAACATGGCACAAACCCAGAACTAGCCACCACCTACCACATCATCTAGCTGACCAGCCTCTTAACTATCAGCTGTCTTATCTCAGTCCTACCCCATCACTGACTCTGCACTGGAACTGCGAGCTCCCCTTCGTATTACAGACCCACGCACGCACACTCTTCCAATGGGACAAGCCAGCAGCATGTGGGGGATCTCGAAAAGAAACCCACAGCAAACAGGACACACCAAACCGACCCAGGAAACTAGATCTGACCCCCACACACCCCACCCCAGCCCAGCCCACTAGATGGAAACCAAGCCAGAAGTGGGTATTCAAGAGTGCCGAGACCATTCTGCAAATCCCCTACCATGACTATTTTACTCTATTTATCACTGAAAAGAATATACTAGCTTTCATCAGGGGCCGGCCAAGATAATCAGGATGGTGCCACACCTCTGTCTGCATCTAGCATCTCAGGTCATCTCCACTCAAAACTAACAAGGCAGGTTTAATTTTCCCATGTTGCCGATGAAGAAACTGACGGACAGGGATTAATTTATCCAAAGTCAGAAGATTAGTTAAGAGGGACCTGAGCAACAGATCCTACCTGATTCCAGGGCCTGAGCTCCTAACCGCTGTGGTTTAAGCAACACTCACGTCTGCCACACGCAGAGGTGAGAGGTGACCACCACCCATGGCTTCCCTTCATGCACACCATCGACAGCTTCTTGCCTGGCCCGGGCAGCAAGCGCACTCTGTCTCTCACAGGAAGGAGGCTTTGTTTTCTCAGGGCCCTTACCAGCTTGTGAGGTCATCGCGTTTGTTTACTTGTTCACTGACGAGCCCCGATGGCATGTTAAGTTCCTCAAAGTCTGAGACCTGACCTGTCTCATCCCCTGCCGTGTCCTGCTGTGAGCACGGCACTGGGCACGTACGAGGTAAACATCTCTGAATGATGGAATGACTCATGGACTTCCAGGCCACCGGCAGAGCAACCTTCCCGTTATTGAGGGACCAGAAAAGTTCTCCCCGGATGACTGAACTGGGATCCGTCCACCTAAGTATGACTGTCCACGGAAACGTGGACCGTGGCCGTGTGGACCAGGAATCCTGGGTCTGTGTGCGGGTGTGTGGAGCCTACAGATGGGGCCCAGGAGAGATGCCTGCTGCAGAGCCACGCCTTTGTTTTGATTAAGGACCAAACTTCGCAACTCTTAGGAGACAAAAGCCAGCCGAGGGATAGACACTGCCACAAACAAGAAAATGTGAAGGGTCAAGTTCGGACTATGGAAAAGGCTCCACGGGAAGAATGAGAGAACTTTCTCATTGCTCCACTGGAAACCGATGCAGACAGAAGAGTCTCGAGAATGTGAATTTAGGCAACAGTAAATATTAGCGCAAACAGGATGCAAGCTCAAGTGCTTATCTCTGCTTAGCCAGGCTTTCTCAATGCCCAGAGGACTCAAAGCACTGACGATTCGGATCCAGCTAGCAGTAATTATTTCATCAGACTATCGCCCTCACCCTGGCCCGCCAACTACTGTATAATCACCAGAAAAAAATCCCCTCCTTTGGTACAAGTCAAGCAAAACTGTGGGGAATAACCACACATCTTATTTACTCATCTGTGAGCCCCACTTGAAGGATCGAGTTGCTTGGAGTGCAAATTGTGAAGGTGCGGCCCATAAATGCCATCCAGAGTGATTCTGACGGGCCTACGAGATGATAAACTGGAACGTCTAGACAGAAGCGGTCGCTGAGGCTGACCATTACGTGAGCAATTACACTTCTGACATGTACCATCTAAAACCCTGGTGGGTGACACAGCGGGCCAAAGCTACTGTCTGGCAGACAATAAGAATTTTCAGGGTGGGGAAATGTGCTCCAGATTAACTTGTGCTATTTGTTAAAAATGAGCTTCACCCTCCCACTGCAAGAACAGGGTGACATGCTTTTTCATGAGAAAATGGAATCAAGGGAAAGGAAACTTCTCCGTGTCCTACTGTAGCCAAGTATAGGGAGCACTGAATAAAGACTCAGAAAACTAAAGAGGCTCCTGGGATCTCATCACTTCACAGAGGTCATGGGGTTACTTCAAGTTCATTCAACAACCAAACGTTAAGAGGTCCAGTATGTGCCAGGATCTGAGAAGAGGAAGCATAGAGGGTAAGGAAGAATAAATTCCCTGCTTCCATGGGGCTCAGGGTCTTGCCAGAAACATTCAGAAGTCATGTTATAAATGCACGTTGACAACTATAATTGAAGATGCGCAGTGGAGACAAGACTGAGGCGGAAGGGTAAATCACCTCTAGTTATAAGGCAAAGCTATTAAGGAACACCTGGGTGGCTCAGTCAGTTAAGCTCAGATCATGATCCCAGGACCCTGGGATCGAGTCCCTTGCTCAGCGGGGAGCCTGCTTCTCCCTCTGCTTCTGCTGCTCCCCCTGCTTGTGCTCTTTCTCTCTGACAAATAAATTAAAAATCTTAAAAAAAAAAAAAAAAGGCAAAGCTATTAAGAGACCACGTGAAAAATATAGGTTCTCCATTTTCTTGCCAGTTACTCTAAAGAACATGGACGCTGGAGCCTAGAAAGGAAATGCGGGGAAGGAAACAAGCTTTCATAGGTAAGCCTTTCAGAAGCTTGAGTATCCTTTTTTCATTTGTGATGGACAAGGAAAGGATAAAAAAAAATCACATTTCAACAAATATTTCGGGAGCACCTACTAACCTGAACACAAAGATGAGCCAAATGTAGTCCTACCAGTAGCAAAGAAACAAGAAGAGAGAGAAGAATTTGATCATGATTAAAGAGAAAGACAAGAAGGCCTGAAGCCGGAATGGCAAACTCAATTCTCATCGGGGCCGAGGCAGGGAACACCACGGTGTTAGAGAATCCAGTCTTTTTGTTATTGTTTTTTTTTTTTTTTTTAAAGCTGGGAACCTGAAGTTTAGATATCAAGTCTCCTAATTTTTATATTTTAAACAGCGGTGGACCAATCCCATTATTTTGTAGTTAGGAAAACTGAGGCCCAGAGCAACGGAGCAACTTGCCCACGGTCATACAGCTCGCCCACGGCAGAGTTGAGATCAGATTCCAGATCTCAATTCTTTGACCCGTGTTGTCTCTAAGATGCCCGTGAGGACCAACGCAGGGACTCTTTCAACAGCTCCCCTCTCTGCAAAGTTGATACCGACACCTTTCGGGGTGTCTTGAAAGTAATCAATTGTCCTGTTGGTCAAGAATTTTTTAAAACTTTTCTCAGAACACTGCAAAGGATTACTTTGTTTGCCCCCCAATTTTGCCTCCAGATACTTTACAGTGAAAGGAGTCACACAGCTCCACAGTGGGGGACCCAGCAGCTGGCACGCTGCAGCAGAATTCCCCGAAATGATGACGCCAGTTGACGTGATGTCCCCCAAAGACATCTGGAGAACGACAGTGAACTAGTTCCAAAGGAGTATGTGGAATGAGACAGCAAGCATTAATGGGTTTCCACTGAGGATTTATGCAGCTGAGGTCACAAGCAGGTTGTAACAGGGTCTGACGCAGCTCAGTTCAGAATAATACACACACACACACACATCACAGCCTGGGCTGGATTCCTGCCCCCAGTCCTTGGGAGGAAGACAAAAACAAACGCTCCTTTCAGGTATTCTCCCAGGCTCAGCTCAAGCTGACATATACTCTAGTTCCTGAACGAGGGAGCCCAAAGTGGTCCCTTAATCCAAGTATTTGCTAAAAACCTAAAAACCTAACTGTTGTCACAGATGCCTTCAACAAAACACAGAACTCAGCCCGGGTCAGAAAGAACCAGCCAAGCCAGAGAAAGTCCTGTAACAGGGAAGGAGGAGTGAGAAACTGGGGGTGCTGTTGGCATGCGGCAACCTGCTAAGGCGAAACCAGGACGCTGATGAATGCATTAGAAAGCGCATATATTTGTACCCCAAAATTGAGGAGAAGGAAAGAGAATGAAAGCCCAGAGAGGTAAATACGTGCTTTTAGGTAGCATATCATTATATGCAAAATAAATTGTACAAACACGCATGATGGGTTCTTTGGGCAGTGGCACAGGTAAATGCTGACCATATTTTCCCATGGGCCACGGTCAAAAGAAGGAGAGGGGCACCTGGGTGGCTCAGTCGTTAAGCGTCTGCCTTCAGCCCAGGTCATGATCCCAGGGTCCTGGGATCGAGCCCCGCATCGGGCTCCCTGCTCCGCAGAAAGCCTGCTTCTCCCTCTCCCACTCCCCCTGCTTGTGTTCCCTCTCTCGCTATGTCTCTCTCTGTCAAATAAATAAATAAAAACCTTAAAAAAAAAAAAAAAGAAGGAGAGAACTTTTGGTGAGTTCTACCACTCTCTGAAACTCTCCGGGCACAGGTCATCCGTCAGCACACCAGGGCCCCGAAGAGGACCGGGCAAGTGAGGCACCGTCTCTCAGGGTCATGCCCTCCGTGGTTACACCCTCCGTGCCTCTGAAGCACAGAGTAAAGATGGCTGATTTTCATTACAGGCCTATCCTTTTACTACAGAGGTAAAGGACCACATCATACTCCATCCAGAAAGCTTCACGTAGGTGTCCCTAAATTTCCGACAAAGAACTCCGTTCACCGGCTTGCCTTCAGGAGGCTGACTGCACCGGATGTCCCTGGCTGGGAGTTTCTGCTTCGCAAAGAAGCCGGTATATAATAACATCATTTATTATCCTGCTAGAGAAATGTAGTATTTTTAAAAGGTGGGGAGGAGGAGAACACCCTCTACACATTTAAAGAATATAAAAAAGCCTCCCAAATCCCAGAATACGTTAGAACTAGAACTATCGTGGATTAAAAAAAAAAAGTCAGCTTAAATTTAATAGACCGTTTAAATTCCTGGTTGATGGTAATTACAGAGCAAGCAACATTTCTTTAAACGCTGCTAGACAGAACTTAATCCAATTTAGGTAATCACTAACCTTTGCTGTTTTTTTTTTCCCCCTCCCTCTCTCTCCTCTAAATGAAATCCAAGGATTGATCTACAAAGGCCATAAACTGGCAAAGCATAAAAAAAGAATATTTTAAAGACAGAGATTGGGTGACTATTACCACTAAAGGCCAAGTCCAATTAAAATGGAAACAGGTCTCACGAGCTCCCTAATTTATATTGCCTATAAACTGGGGATTCTAACCAGGCATCATCACAACAGAAGGTATGCTGAGGAGGGTGGGGGTCCTTCCTTCCCCGCTGGCCCCCTCTGGGCACCTCGTGTGGCCTCCCAATTGCCAGGTCTTGCTTTACAGTATGACAGCCATCCCCTGCCAGACCAAGGCTGATAATTCTCTATACTCAAAGTATCTGCAGGGCCTCTCTCCCTCTTCCATGAATTATCAGAATTATCCAGACGGTCCCTTCAGCTCATCCACTGCTCACCTACCTCCTATCCCCTCATTTTTAGAGCTCCCACACTGCTCGGGTACCCACTTCTGATCCAGAAACTTCCATGTGAACCACCAGGACTTTACTGAGTACTTGGCACCCTGGATTCTTCACCGAAGGCCTTCAAGGGTAGATATCAAAACATACTGGAAAGCACAAGGTGCTTAAGTTAATGGCTGTTCGTCAGGAAAGGAATTAACCTCTCTGAGCTTCTGTTTTTACATCTTAAAATAAGGAAAAGAATATTCACCTGCTCAGGTGGTGAGAGGCTCAAATGACATCACCATGGCTGCACCTGGCTCATAAGAGCTGCCCAAGAAATATGTTGGCTTGTTTGTTTTAACTGTACAAGTTTCAAAGTAAACCTTGGATCCCCAGTTGCTGAGAAAAATGTTCATTAACTCAAGTTCACCTCTGATGTCTCATCATCGCTTTGCATCATTTACACTCCCAACCTCCTTCCTGGCTCCAAAGTGGAATCTTCCCTTGCCTTCTGCTTATCAGGATATCACTCTCTCTGTTCCCAAAGTCCTAACCCAGCACAAAATCCCCAAAATATTGTATTCTCAACCTTCAGCAATTGAGATATTCACACTGACTTGTTAACAAATGATACGGTCTGTAAGCATTACTTTTAACATTGCATACAGAGAGGCAGCTCTAGGGAACAAACTTCTAATGAGGAACATTAAACAGAGTAGGGATCTCTCAGAGGGGCTCACACCCTACTTCTCAAATCAATTCTGTATTGGCCTAGCTCTGCAAAAACCATGAGAAGGAAAAAGGCTGCAATTCAAGAAAGATTTCAGTACACTTGACCTTGTACAAGGGCTCTACAAAAGGAATGACCACAGGAAGTAATGAGGGTAGAAAAATAATTAAGAAATCCACAAAGTCCTAATAATTCCATTTCCTACAGATAAATGGCTTAAATCTTGCACATACACAGTCAGTGAGCAAACTGAAGATGATGACATTTAGGTCTGGACTACCAGCATGAAATTTTCAGGTACCAGAGTAACAGTTTTCTAAATACAAGATTAGGACTTTTTTCCTTCAATAATTGAGCCATTCCGTGGTACTATGTGACATAGAGAAAAAATAAGAAAGAAGAAGCCACCAAGTTACTCAACTATAAGCCGATCTAGTCATCAACTGAGGAACAACAAACTGAAGGGAAAGATCCTCAGTACTGGCTCCCACTAGAGGCCTGGAGTAACAGACCCAGACCCCATCCTCGGCTCTACCCCCGTGTGTGTGACTTGGGACAAACCACTTAAATAGTTTGTCCAAAGCCTCAGTGGGCTCATCATTATTGTGATGGGGATATAACAGTACCTACCTCATCACTGTTTTGGTGCAGATTATATAATATTATCAATGTCTCTTAGGGCAAAGTTTAAGACATAATAAAAACTCAAGAACTGTTTGCCCCCCTTCCTCCTTTTCTAAATAAAGGGAACGTTTTTATAATGTTCAAGTAACAATCATTATTGAAATCTCACCCCCTGAAATAAATATCCACGAGCCCCCGGATCTGAAAGAAATGAGGTCTCCTCAATTTAGAAACAAGGGAGTCTAAACCAAGCCCTGGAGAAATAAGCCAACTGGACTACTAGCTCATTTCTAACGTCTTTCTTTTTTACCCTATTCATGGTTCTGGCTGTTAGAAGCATCAATAAGATACCGAAAGGACAATGGTTGGGTTTGGAAAACAGAAAACGATTTTGTGGACTGATCAAGCATGGTTTCCTTTATCTGCTCATTGCCTACAGAATAAGCTCTCAACGGTGGCACCCTACATGCGTTAGAACAGCTCAATACTACAGGGGCACCTGGGTGGCTCAGTTGGTTAAGCGGTTGCTTTCGGCTCCGGTCATGATCCCAGGGTCCCGATATCGAGCCCCTCATCGGGCTCCTTGCTCAGTGGAGAGCCTGCTTCTCCCTCTCCCACTCCCCCTGCTTGTGTTCTATCAAATAAAATCTTACAAAAAAAAAAAAAAAGAACAGCTCAACATTGCAGCCAGGTTCCACCACCGCATCTTTCTTGATCGTACGGGGAACCTCAGCAAGGGCTTACATTTCAGTGGAGAGCCTGCTTCTCCCTCTCCCACTCCCCCTGCTTGTGTTCTATCAAATAAAATCTTACAAAAAAAAAAAAAAAAAAGAACAGCTCAACATTGCAGCCAGGTTCCACCACCGCATCTTTCTTGATCGTACGGGGAACCTCAGCAAGGGCTTACATTTCAGTGGAGAGCCTGCTTCTCCCTCTCCCACTCCCCCTGCTTGTGTTCTATCAAATAAAATCTTACAAAAAAAAAAAAAAAAAGAACAGCTCAACATTGCAGCCAGGTTCCACCACCGCATCTTTCTTGATCGTACGGGGAACCTCAGCAAGGGCTTACATTTCAGTGGAGAGCCTGCTTCTCCCTCTCCCACTCCCCCTGCTTGTGTTCTATCAAATAAAATCTTACAAAAAAAAAAAAAAAAAAAGAACAGCTCAACATTGCAGCCAGGTTCCACCACCGCATCTTTCTTGATCATACGGGGAACCTCAGCAAGGGCTTACATTTAAATTGTGGCTAAATTAGCCTCTGCAAGCTCCATTTCCCCCCCTGACCCACTTGCTGTTCCGTGGTGTCAAGAACAGCGCCTTCCACCAGAGAGCAATTTACCAGAGCTCAGCACCGGGACATTCTGCAGCGTGTAGGCCAATGAAATGTCAGGACAGCAACACACGGCGGTCAAGCTCACCAAAGAGAGGTCAAAAAAGGACAGTATTCGTGGCTTGATCAACCAGCACCCTTTGGAGGGGCACAGCGGACCGTTAGCGCCCTTGAGCAATTTGATCTTTCGCGTGGGCCATTTGAATTTGCACGGATCCCGTGGACAACAGGTTCCAGAACTCCGCCCCAGCAGGGATGCCGGGACACCGGCCCAGAGCTTTTCACATGCGGGTCTCGGGAGCAAACGTGCGTCTGAGCGGCCGCGCGGGACCCTTCCGTCTTGTGGGGCGCATCGCACTAATTGAAACCTTACCCACCGCAGGACTGCAGCGGCGTCTATAAATACCGCCTGACTGCTGACAAACAAAACGCGGGCTCCCGGCACCGCGGAGGAAGAGGCGGCGGCATGTGACCGAGGGCAGGGGCAGGGAAAAAACCCCGTTGCCTACCAGGGACGCACCCCAGCGCCGATTCCTGAAGCACAGTTTGCAAGCACACAGCCTGATGTGACCCGGGGCGCCCGCCCTCGGGAACAGAGGCCGAGCGCCGGGAAGGGAGGGTCTCGGCCGCGGGGGGACCCGGGGCTCCGGAGCGCCCCCAGCGCGCAGGGGGCCCCCAGCATGAGCACAGTAGGCGTGCAGAGGGCAGCCTCGCCAAATGGAGGGCGGGCGGGAAAGCCGGCGCGGAACGGGGGTGCCGCCGGCGCCTACAGCCGCCCGCCCCAGCCGGGTGTCTTCGCGGGCTGCGCCCCGGCCCGCCCCAGTCGGCGGAGCCCAGCGGAGCGCGGGACAAAGCGGCTGGCCTCCCTGCCCTCCCTCCCACGCCTGCCTCTGCAAAAGGGGGCCGGCAGGAAAAGATGGGCTGTCTCGGGGCGCCCGATCGCCCGCGCCCCAGCCGGGGCAGCTCTTTAGATTTGCCGCCTCCGGCCGAGGGAGAACGAGGGAGGCCAACAAGCAAACTTTCTTTTTCGATCTCCTGGCACAGCCTGGGTCCCGCGGTCGGCGGCATCCCCCCAT